GGAGAGGCATTATTGTTCTGACCTCCCAGCTAAGACCAACAGGTTTCCTTCCACAGCTAAGACAGCTTCCACATGCACCCGATTTCTATAGTTAGAGAATATACCTGGTAAGCACAGTCACGTTTCAACCCCCCTAAGGTTTTGCCTTGTCCTGCTGCAGCTCTGGCAGCTGCAACCCAGGGATCCCCCTACCCACAGCCTCTTGAACTGGCAGGACAACACCTATCAGAGAAGTTACTGTCTCTGGGATGAAAGCACCTGTCAGCCTGAAATTCACTCCAAGTACTTTCTCACTGGGACATACAGCTCAAATTCACCTCTGCAGTCCAGGTAGAGTGTTGCAAACACCCAGGTCAAGCCAGACCTGACACCTGCCCTCTTCACCCCTGATGCATTAACAAGCCCAAATGCTCTCCAGTAGCAAAGGTCAGCTCTTGATATGTGGGATCAACTGGTACCTGTGTAGGCTGCCATGGTTTCAGAGAGCACTCTTGTCACAGAGACCTCTTTACTCAGGTCTTCAGGGTTATGCAAGACCCAGTGGAGTCCAAGAGAGTTTCGCTCTTCCATATTGTACTAAATTGTAGCAGGGACGGCCACATCGCTGTGGGTCTGTGTCACCGGCATTGCCTGAGGACCTGGGAGAGGTCTGCTTCCACTCTCGGTGCCTCAGGGCAATTCCCCTCTGTGCTTGGGCTTCAGGTGTGCCAGATGAGGCAGATCCCCTCACTGATCATCTGTTTGTCTGTGGGATTGGGGTAAGGGTGTCAGCGCTGGCTGTGGGCTTTAGGGGCTGCAATCAAACAGCAAGTAAACGCTAATGATGGTAAAGGTGGGCCAGGCTGGGAGCTTGGTGCAGCTCTGTGTAGCCACCCAATAACTCATTTATTTAAGCAGTGCACCTGGAAGATGTTGGAAAGCCTGTGCCACCATGGTCCTCCTCTCCCATCACCTGGCTCCTTTCTCATCCTTTTGGGAAACAGAATCACTGGAAAGGGTGCTAGAAGCGAGGAAAGGAGCTAATACACCATTTCCCCCGCCACCTCATCCTGGCCAGAAATTCCTTCTACACATAGGGAATTCTCTAAGACAATTGACACCATTAACAGAGTCAGGAAACATAAGCTTTTGTAAAAGCATCTGGCACTAATCTCCAGCTGAAGAGGAGCAAATGAACACACCAATGACCAAAAAAGTCATTCTTTTACCCAAACCTGTCTGCAGTCTCCGACTGAGGAGGGGAACACCACCACAAAGCAGGTGCCAGACTGTAAAAGCCCCATAAACTTCACCAGAATTGCTTCCTTTCTAGCATGCCCACCACCTCCCCAGCCTAACTGCATACAGGTGTTGGAGCCTAGTGATGACACCCAGCGCCTGCAGAGCAGCAGGATGAGTGTAAGTGATTTTATCTGGGCACCCGCCTCTCTAGTGCCCACAGTGAGATCAGGGAGTGCCAGAAATGTGTGTTTGAGTCTGACCCATGATTACGAATTGGCATAAGGTTCAGTTAGAAACACAGTGAAAACTAATTAGCTCAGGTCTGCCAAGAGCATTTGCATACGATAAGACAGAAACCAGTTGTATGAAGTATGAAGCAGATGTCAGAGTTGAAAATTATCTAAGTATAGAGGAGCCCGCAAAAGTGGTGGAGCGACTGTAAGTATATGAAAAGGGCTAATTGATCCATTGAGGAGGAGCAGGGTGCTTTCTTTTTGTTTTAATTTTTTTCTTTGTGTGAAAACTTATGCAATTATTGGCAAGCTCCACCAGCAAGTGTTGTCTACAGGCAAAGGTGTAACATCAGATTTCAGGATAAGCTGGGACTCCATCCCAGTCTTGCAAAACACACATCCCACAGGTCTTGAGGTACATGTTTAAAAAACAGCCAAGAGAAGCTGGGTGCACTCAATAGCGAGGAATGTCAGTGGAAGCATATAGAAAGCGCCATTCACTGAAGCCAGGATTTGGCAAGTAAGTCAGGGAAAAAAAATAAGGAGTCTAATGGCCAAAGGACATGGTGTGACTGCACTTGCAACAAATGGATTGAAAATGAGGGAAATGGAGCATGTTTTAGCCAAGTGGAGGTGAACAGAAACTCAAGCGAGCAGATAACCGCATGCTTAGAAAAGATGGGAAGCCAGCATGCGGGCACAAAAAGCAAGTCATAGAAGCTGCTGCACTTGGTTGGAAAGGTGGCTTGTTCCTGGATTTGATACTTGGAAGATGAAAATCTAGGGAAATCTGAAATATGTTATCACAAAAATTGTCAACCTTCCACTGATATCTTAGTCAGATAGCACCTGTATCAGCTGCTTACAATCCATTTTCAGGGGAAAAGATCATATTGCTGAGACAAGGCTAGGTAAACATAATTTTCTAATTGTCATCAGCACACATTAGCATGTGTAACTATTCTAGTTTTCTGATACTTCAAATACTTTCAAGTGTCAAAACCAAAACATTAAGCTAAAAGGACATTGGTATCAGTGCAAAATCAAGCACTTAAAAATTACAAGATACCTTTTTGCATAGTAATGAAGTATTTAAATCACTTCGTATCACACTATTTTTCCTGGGAGACCAGCTTCTTTGAGAGCACAGGCAGGTTGCTGCTCAGTCAACAGAGCTATTTAATAGTTTATCTTCCTTGTTCAATGGTATGGTGGTTTACTGTGCTCCATTATGGTATGACATCCTTAAGAAACAGGCCCAAAGTCACAATGTACCTGGGGAATTACCAACAGAGAGAAAGACATCCTTTTCTTCACCTACTGGTCCCCAAATCTTGTTTACCGGTAACTAACAAAAGAATCTGAAGATACTTCTCACTGTTTCCAGAACTTACCTCGCTTCTTAAATTAGGATCCCTCTACACATAGTAAGAGACAACCCCTTTCAAAATAAGCACATCATCTAAATAGACGAGAGAGAAAATGTGTGGAAGAAGATATTCTGTTATCCATGTTTTATAGATAGGGCAACAGAGGCACAGAGTGTTTGGGTGACTTGCCTAAACTTACACAAGTCTGTTGGCAGAGCTAAAAACTGAGCCCACATATCTTGGTCCCTACTCCAGAAATGTACATTTTGGTGACAATGGGAATTTTCCAAATGTCTGCATCTGATTATGGAAGAATTCTTCTGAAATCCCACTGTCCTCAGGATGGAGGACAAGATCATAACAGTAACACTATTTTCTGAGAACGCAGCATCATTTTACTTTGTGCAATCCCTTTGCCTAAGCCGGTGAATCATGATTCTTATCTTGTCATTCAATTTCCATTCTAGATCAAAGGTGATACTAAAAGAAATTAAATCAGCACTTCAAAGGAATGAAGGTAAGGTCTTGCACATATGTGCAGTGTTTCACAGCTGTGAAAAAGAATAGAAATTAATTTGACCTTCTTTGCTATGCTATGATATTTCTTCTATTGTCTGCAACCCAGTATTACAGAACATGTGAACTAAACACTTCTCTCCGTTTGGTTGGAAAATTAACAATGGTGACATCTATGTTCTTGAAGCACCAAAGTGATTGGAATACAAAAAGGTGATTGAGGAATTTTCTTTGTAGAATATTGTTCCCTCAGAAGATGAAGATAAAAACAAATGGTAGCATTTGGGGTGAAAAAGTTGCCATCTCTGAATTATCCAGTGGAAATCAAGTAATGCTTACGTGGAGAAAACAAGAAGATATCCTGCCATGTCCTTAGCCTTCCTCAAAGTCTGTCTAATGACTTACTGGCTCACAGAAAGATGGACCTTTAGAGCTGCTTGTCCGCTAGCAAGGATTCTAGTCCAAAGTAGCATTCTGAAGCAAAACCTGTTAGGGTTTCCAGGCCAAAGTAATCTGGAGTGGAGCTGCTGCTTCACTAGCAGCGTGGGGCACCTCATCTTATATCTTTGGAAAAGTTGTGCCTGTCATTGTCTGAGTTTCTAACTTCAGGGTGTGTATCAAGACAATCTGAGAGTCCTTGACATGCAGTGTACAGACATTTCCTCTGACAGCTTTGATAACTACACCTAAGCCACCACATTTTGGAGTACCATAGCTAAAGGATTGCCTCTTGATCTGTGCAAACAGCAATTGTAAATGACTTTTCACTTTGATGGATCCTCTAGTTGTACTAAAAATACTAAAAAGTGGGAAGACAGAGGAGAGGGGTAACATGTTATGTGAAATGTTGGGCAGTGGAGAGGCTGTGGTATTAGTGAACTGCAGCACAATGTCCCAAAAAGGAAAGAAAATGCACAGCAAAGAGAGGAAGAACAGTATAGTAAAGGGATATGCAAAACTGTGGTTATTACTGACCTGCCAAGTTCATGAGGCACATGTAGGAATGGCAGGAGAAAATTCTCCAGAGAAAAACCTCTGTAGAAGTGGAGCACCAGGTAAGGGCTGGCCAAATGCCACACATTTTCAGAACACTTCGCATGTAAGCTCTAACATACCATGTACTACAGTCCCCAAAAGGTTTTGGTTACACATCTTTCAGTGAGGGGCAAGAGTCAGAAACATCCATAACAACATGGCTGGCTCAGGATATGTACACTATACATCTCACTGAACTTCTGAGATGCAGTGGGGCTCTTCAGAGCAAAGAATTATGAGCAATTGATGTGTAAAGATTTCAGCCTTGTATTCTATGTATTTGTTATAGACATGGGATATGAACACCTTGGTATTAAAACTGGTGTTAGGATATTTTCACACCTCTGAAATAGCCAACTTGTCTGTGCTTTGCTGACTGATGAAAGTCTTAAAGATTTAGTCACTTCCCTACCTGGCATTGACCTGTTGCTGAATTCTTAAACCCCAAACAACAGAGAACCTTTGAGATTGTAAATAGATACTCTGTGGCAGAAATTGGCTTTGATTGTGATTTCTTAGCTCCTATGATTTGTGTGTTTTGCATTTGTGCAGTGGCTAGCACAAGCAGGGGCTGATCCAGTAATTTTAGAACTCTATAATGTCAGTAAGAAAATCTGGTACTTACAAAAATCTGCCTGATGAGCATTTCTCAACTTTATGATTCTTACAGTGAGCAGGGAGTAAGGTGACATTTCCTCCTGCTGAAAAAAATAACAAAGGAGATGTGCTTTAAAGTTTGGGATATGTGTATTTATTGTAATGACAACCAAACACTGAAAGGAACCCAGGTTCTGCTGAAGCCATCTCTTCCAGTTGGCATCACAGCAAAAATACAATAGGCAACAAAATGCACTTTTTCCACAAACCTAATCAGCCCCTAAAGTCTGCAGTCACCAAAGCATACAAACAGAAAGCATGGAAGGAGAGGATGAATAGGAAAGTGGAGACAGGAGGTAAATAAGCTGAGAAAGTTCAGTTAGCCAGCTACATTAAATCATACATGTAGTCATCAGCATCCAATATGATAACACAAAATTCAGTGATTCACAAATCAGAAATGCTCCAATTTTGGTTGAAAAAAAAAAGAAGGCTCTTTTTAGGTTTTCTCACTTGTTTTTAAAAGAATCATTTTCATGATGGAAGGGTGTCTAAGGATTAGTATTAGCACCTTAGGGAATGTCTCAGGCCACCAGGGCAATACAGAGCTTTGGACAAACATTCCTAGCTTGCTTTGTGGGAACAGAAGTTTTCCTTACCCAATGTGGTTAGCTGATTGATAGACATGGAGTAGTATAACAAAGTACATGGTTTTGACTACAATCCATCTCAAAGAAGGCTATCTCCAATTCCTTGTTGAAGATGCTAGGCTTTCACAGGTCTGTAAAAGTTTTGACAATCACATGTGCTTTAGGGATTTTTACATCTTCAGAGAACATGTCCATCATGTCCAGCAACAGCAGCTAGAGCAACCAGGGTACCAGCAGAAAGATGCAGAAAATGGGCAAAGTTTGCTATGGCTGCAGCATAGATAGCTGTCTGGATTCCCTGACTGTGGGAACATTTGTGGAAGATTTGTCAAAATAGCTGAAATTTACAGAAAGGAAAGAGAGTTGCACCATGGTTGTACACAACAGACTGAATGAAAAGGGTGAATCAGCACCGCGAATGGCTACCTGTATCATAGTTTAGGAATAGAAGCAGAAGAAAGGGAAGAACTTCAGAAATTTCAGACTATATTGAGTAATTATTCCCAAGCTGATGTGTGATTATAATAGGAACAGGTCTCATTAGTTAGTTGGGGTAACACAGCAAGACTGCAGTGAATGCCAGAGGAGAAGGGTCTGCACAAGAAAGAAAATACTCTTTCAAAGTCTGTCAAAACCTGAGGGCTGACTGCATACAAAGATGTTATCAGCAGATTCTGTACTGGCTACCTCCAATGACAGGGGAAGATATAAACAGTATAACATATATATTAAAAAGCAACCTTGAAAGAGTAAGGTTATGGAATAATAATTATTTTTTGAAGGACTTCTGAGTAAAGCATCAATAAAACCAAAATGTTATAGCATTAAAATGAGGTAGATTTGGGAGTAGGGAAGTGTTAGTTTGCAGTTCTAATAGCAAGGGTCTGTGGAAATTATAAAATGACCAAACTAATTATGATGACACTTGTAGATTTGCAGAAAGATATTCAGCCAAATAATACTGAAGGCATAGTATGTATCAGGGTCAAGCAATAGGGGCCACTTCAGTGATGTGGAGGCCTGATGGTAGTCACTCATATTCAGGAAGAGTTCAGGGAGGAGTTGAGATAATGGCAGAAGGCAAATAGATCAGTAATTCTTACTAAAGTCACCTCACAAAACAACAATAACAACAACAAAAGGTGGCCAAAGTAAGAAGCTGTTGTGAAAGGTAATGACTAAAAGTTTGAAAATATTATCTGAAGTGAAAATGGAGGAGTGCTGGTGGAAGATGATGAAATAATTAGGCAATGTTATCTATTTTCTGAGAAACATCAATTAAAATAACAGGGAGAAACTCTGGAGTGAAATAAGAGAAAGCACGTTCACAGGTGCTGCTACTGTGACAAAAGTCAAAGACTGCTGAAAAGGTCAAAGTATAAGAAATCAGTGAGACAAGACAGTACATCAGCTGAAGTGTGTAAAGCATTGAACCACGGGGAATTCATCATGACAAAATCTAGCTTAACCTCCCAAACCATTTCCATCTCTATGAGGAAGACAGACATGAAGGTCATAAAAGGAATTTGCAAAAAAATTGCAGTAATTCTCAAGCTATGAAATTATCCAATGAAATGGCAAGAATGAATTTTTCAGAAAATGCTGGGTAATTTAAAGGCATATTAAAATAAAAGTTAACCAGTTAACCATAAAGCTTTTCCCATGAGCTCAAGCTTATAATCAGGAATCATGTCAGAATATTTTCAGTAAGTGGACTAGTTAAAATGCTAATACTTTTTGCTGTGAGGTAAAGAAGCAGCACACCCATAACAAGAGGGCTATTAAGTGCTGAACAAACGCATTCTCTTTATCAGGCTATAAGGGGTAGAAGATCTTGGCTTCTGGGTGGGTGTATTCCAAAACTAAATAGGAAGTTAATCACTGTTGCTTAAAGTCATATGTAGGGCACAGGATATTTTATAGGGCTGTTTGTTCAGGGAAGCTAAGATCTCAGCATTATCAGAATCTGGGCTGAGCCAGCTCCACACTATTGTTTCAACCATTATTGTTAGACCATTCCTTTTTCATCGCCAAGGAATAACTCCATGTCTTCTTACCTCAACCTGTTTTGTTCTTAAAGAACAAACACTCATTGGGTGTGTTCATTTGTTTGTATACCTTTGTCAAAAATAGTACTTAAATTAGAGAAACATAAAAACTTCAGCAGAGATATCTCAGGGGAAATAAAGGAAAGAGTTAAAGGAATCACATTTAGTGTTGGTGCTCTCTTTGCCTTCTTTAATGGCATCAGTCCTTCAGCCAGCACTTTGGAACATGTATTTTTAAAGATTGTCAGAGATGTGCATGAACTACCATGACTTTTTAAGAGGTAGAGTGACAGAAAGAGAAACAAGCGTGGGTTCTGCAAAGACACGTTTACACCAAGCCACTGGCTGTGCGCTCATTCCCGAGTGCCATTGCAGCAGACTAGAGTACAGGTTATGTGAAGAATGTATCACAAGAACCTCATACTTTGCATGCAAATGAAGACAAACTGATAAGAGACCTAGAGTATGGGAGGGCTGTATTAGGAAGGAAAAAAACCCCAAACCCTGAAACAATAGAACATACCCAGTGTTTCCATGAAGAACAGCAAGATGCTACACAGATTAGATAGTGTCAAAGGTTATGCAAGGGTTCAAACACCTAATTTCATGTGGAATCATGGTGAGAAAGTGGATGGGGATATTTGGTGCCACAGGAAGATGTCTTGGTGTAAAGAGGAGTTTAGTTAAATTTGAAGAGCTTGCCAAGGGAACAATAGGGGAGAGTCCCCTATCAGCCATAATGTACAGATTAGAAATTTGATTGAATGAGAAGCAAGAATTATTTCTCACCTCCACGAGGAGAGCTCTGAGTAGGGGCTGTGTAAGAGAAAAGCCAGTGAGCTGTGCAGGGGAACTCTGTGTACCAGGAGAAAAATCTCACTGTATTGCCTGAGAAAACTGAGTCCTGTGAGATACAGGCTATGTCAGCCAGAGCACACCCAGCATTCAGTCATGGAACAAAGACCACAAGAGAGAGAATGGAAAAAGACACTCAAGGAATTAAGAACAGAGGAAAGAGCTAGTGATGTGAACCTGAGAGATGCATTCAGTAAGTGTGTTTGGTAGCAGAGAACATGCAGCCAGGCAAGCCATGGCTGAGCTTCCCTCAGCCTAAGCCTTGCTCCCTGGGTCTATTCATTGGGTCAGCATGGTTTACTAGCAAAATCCCTGCTGGTATTAGCCTGCCCCCAAGAGTAATGATTACTTTAAATTCAAAGGAATAATGAAAACGCTAGTTTTATCTCCATATTCTCAACATTTTTACCAGCTAGGAAAGGGTTTTCACAGCACTCAGAACCAGTCTGTACTCTGAACCCCTCTCACTTTCTCTCAGTATAACACTCAGATGGCCATATTGTGCAAATCAAAGTCCTTCAGAAAAAAACCCAATCTGTTCTAGAAAACATTTTCATCCTCTCCTTAGGGCATCAAAGGAGGAACAATATTCAGTGATCAACATCATCATTTGAGACACCAATGCTTTTGAAGAGAACTGCTAACTATTAAGAGAACTATTAACTATAAAGCAAATCTCTGAGACAAATGAAAAGGAGACTTATCGTCCTTAGAGGAGGCAGTTAATGAAAAATTACTTCATCTAATACTTTTCTGATGGCCAAATGCCAGACATGAAAACTACTCCAGAAAATTCAAAGAGCAAAATAACATCTTCTTATAACCGAAGCTTAAGTCCCTGGTGCCATCAATGGAAGTCATGCACCTAAACAACTTTTCCCTCTAGTCATCATTTCATTGCAATAAGACATTGAACAACGCTAATAAACTAAAAAGTAAGTAAGTGTGTTGCTGCTGCTGATTATCACTTGTATTCCATTAAAAAAATGGTTAGTTCAGGGAGTTGGTAATGTAAACAACTATCCATGAGTGACTAATTATCATAAACAGCCAATTTCAGCACAAAATTTGCATTCCATATTAAGCCAGGAGTAACTCCTGATACCTAGAATAAGGAAAGTATTACCAAAATTTGAGAATCCGCAGTACAGAGATGAGCAAATCCTCTTGCAGTCCCCTCTAATAAAGATAAATCTGTGTACCCTGAACCTCTGAACTTATCCCTGCAATGACAGAGTGATGGTCAGACTGAACAGCCTTCCTTAAAGGCTCATTGTTACCCCTGAAAAAGGTGACCTTACATGACACACTTCAATCACAGATACTTTTTTTAAGAGGGAAGGGAGACAGGGCCCTTGGTAACGTTGTGGCTTTTTCTAGCTTTGCAGCAAACCGTTAAGGAATGTACATCATTTTATGTGTATCACTTGCATAAATCAAAAACTGATTAAAATTCTCCTAGTTCTTCTCTGGTTTCAGATTTTGTGTCCAGCTGAATACTTTGGTGAGCCTCCCAGCCCTGTGTTAATACTACTAATCTTGAGCTGAGATTATGCTTCCTAGTTTCTTGCTGTTTGCATTACTGTTTATAAGTTTTTAGTGCATTCACAGATGATGAGCCAACAACTATTTTTTAAGCTGATAATTTGCCAAGGAAAATACCATTAGTTTTTTTTAATTTTGGAAATAACAAATTATTCTCTATAAGACAATGCACTAAAAAATAATATCCAGTGATAAATTTTCTAGATTTAATGTAATTATGGGCTACCTTACTCACAGCTATTTATGATCTTCCTTTAGCATGTTTCATCTTTCTTGTATTCATGTGTAGGGTGCTAGAAGGCAAACTGTCAACTCAGGACTCCCTGAAATAGTTAAAGAGATGCTGTCTTGATGCTCCTATCCATTTTAAAATATGAAAGAGGTTTCACAAAGTTGTTACATTTTCCTGAAAACTTAGCAGTGGGGCATACTTGGCTTTACACTGTAGGTAGGCAACACAGCTAAATTCCATGTGCGGCCCCTGGGCATGTTTTTCTAAACCCAATCCAGTAACTATTCAGTTTATCACACAGCTACCCAAAGTCCTCTCAAACTGAAGCAAGTACTTCGGCAAATATTTGAGCATTAGCATTAAGGAAAGCTTTGCACCTGTTTACTTGTTCTTGTAAGGATTATCCTTCTGTTGCAGATGGCAAGCTATGGCTTTCAAAAAATCAAGCGAATTACTGCAAGCTGCCCAGGAAACCCAATGCCAGTAAGAGGCAGGAATTGGCCAGCTTGCACAAGTCTGTGCCTTTAATGCCAATTTTCTGCCAAGCTTGATTACAGAGGAGAGAAAATCTATTCAAAAGGCAGGAGGCAAACAAAGAGTGTCTGAGAACGTCTTGGTAGTTAAACACCTATGGATAGCAAACAGAACTTTCAGAGGTTCATTTGATAAGGAGAAATTATGACAAGAACAATGAATTAAAGCTGTGGAAAGGGTCCCATAGCCCCTATATGCACAGGTTTATGGCCACAGGATCATTTTATGTTACTTTACATACATTCAAAAACATGTGCTGGATTCTAACAAGCTTTATATACATGTAACTACCTTAGCGGTGAAGAAGGATTGGATGCTTTTAGCCATGGATATTCTAAACCAGAACACAACTTCAGTATAAATACAGTAAATCATTACAAAAATGCTACAGAGATCCGGTCATTGCACTGTTTAATAGTTGCTTTTCCTGCTTTAGTACATTCCCTTGCTGAGCTTTAGCACACACACAGAGCAAATTATGAACACCTAAACAGCATGTCAGTTTTTGTTATGCTACTTCACCATTTACATCATTTCACACCCCACTGATAGAAATTAGTGTACAAAAAGGGTGACAAACTATCTGAAGAGCTGCCAGATTGCTACTAACAAGAAATCACTTTGATCAATCAGTTTGATAAAGTTGCGACATACATAAGCAAAAAAATGTTTGTAGTTTTTCTATTGATTTGGAAGTCTGGTTGCACAAAAAAGAAATTAAACATACAGGTTTCCTATGAGCTATAGATACTTGAATCAAACACCATTTAAGATAACATCAAAAGTAAGTTAGCTTTTTGTTTGGAGCTGCCCTGCTTTTACTTTGAGGCAGCTTGACACAATGCATAGTCATCTGCAAGCTAACTGAGAGTGGAGACAAAAATCATCACTGATACAGCTGGTATGTGTTTGATGCAAATATATCTCTGTCACAGGCCCTGCAAAGGTTGCTAGAGTTGTTGTGCTTTTCTTGTGAAGAGTTGCACAGTGATCAAAGTGGGCATTTGTTCTGGAAATCGGCATTAATTACCAAAACCCAAAGGATCACCAACAACCATACTCTGACTTTCCAACACTGGCAACGTTCTCCTTTCATGCTGGGCTAAAACTCCATTAATGTCAATAGTGATAGACAGTATTAAAAGAAGGCCCATTTTAACAGTAAATTGACAACATTTTCCCTAAGGAATTTCTCTAAGGAATAAAACCATGAAAATAACACAATTTATGTAAATAAAGGAATGGAATAAAAAAATAATGGAATGCAGATGTTTCACCTAAAGAAAATTTTCTTTTGTGAAATATTCCTATTTCTAAATAAGCATATGAATCTTTAATAATCAGATTTGAAAAAAAAATCCTACCCTTCTCAAAAAAATATTGGTTTAGTCCCACCTATTTTTAGTTTGCTGAAGTTGGTACCTTAACATCAACGTCGCTTGGGGCTACGTAATGCATCATCCATTTTCTTTCTTCATTTTCCAAGGGGCTTGATTTGCTGCTTGAATGCTGTTGAGGGAGAGAGAATAAGGGATGAAAAAGAGAGTAAAGACCAATTTTTCTACTTATTTCAACTCCTCAATGTGGAATTGCAATGTGGAGCAAGCAGTTCACACCTCTTCATTGTTTGTGGTGGATAAAACGAATGTGCCAGGAAAACATCAGCTGTTTCTCTGCTATATGGAAAGATATTGACTCCAGGTCCTCGTAGCTGCAAATAGTCAAGGAAGGACAATCTTGTTTTCTTGGAGATTTCTGTCCTACAGGTATCAGTGGACTTGACCTGCTTATAGTCTGGTGAAAAATCTAAATCAAATACTCAGAGGCTCCTGCCAGGCTTGTTCTGTTTTCCACTTACCTGAGGAAAGGCAGAGGTTGAAGCCATTGCGATCGCTGCTGCATTAAAAGCAGGTGCTGTGAATGGCACCTGAATATTAGACTCCACAGTTGCCAGTGCCTCCTGAAACAAATTTACAGCCTTGAAGAGTGTCAGAAGTTGCAACAGGTGTTTTACTACATTGAGTCAGAGCTCCACCCTTCCATGATTTCTGAAACTGGAAAATTTCCCACCCCCATTACTTGTCTAAAGAGCATGTCTGTTGTAAGTTGTGAACGTTCATATCTGCAGGTCTTGTGACTGAGTAGAGCATGCTGAGAGACCAAATTATTCCCACCTGGGGGCTCATGGAAATGCAGTAACAGCAATAACCTGATTGATGATCTGATAAAGATCATCTATGAGATGGTAAACTTGCAGCAGTAATCTAAAACCGATGACAATAATAGCCTAATAGACACATCTACCTATTGTCTCCATGCAAAGACCCTGAATTCCATGCACTATTGCCTCCATAATAAAAAAAAAAAAAAAAAAAAGATGGGGATGATCATTAGAAGGAAGACATTTAAGTATGAAGATGCTAAGAATTCTTCTGAAGGAATATTTTTCCCTGAGAAGTGCTGTTGCATTATGATTTTTGCATATGTGTTTGTTTTTATTGCAGTGTTCTACTTCAAAAAAATGAAAGGAGGGAGAAATTTGAAAAACAACGTTTCTGTGCTCCCTAAAACACAATGTATCACTTTTCCATTTGAAATGTTTTACTGATTTCTGGGCTTTACATTTAATAGAGTATGCATCTTAACAAAATCAATTGAGATTCAAACATTTCACCTTGAAAAATCATGAAACATTTCAACAAACTAAAATAATTTCATGTTTTAGGAGATTTTAGCCCCCCCCCGGTTCAGAACTGTCATTTTCTGGTGCAAAACCCATTCAGATTTCTGAGCAACTTTATTCAAATCACCAGCCAGCTGGGCATTACTAGCAGATTATTGGAATTTAATGGACTGATCCTGTACGTTTTATGTTGGGGGGTTTTTTTTTATCTAATGAGGATCTGCATGTGTTCAGCACACCTCTAGGAAGCTGAGTGATGTATGTGTTCAGCACACCTCTAGGAAGCTCAGTGATTAAATTTTCTAATCCATTATGCAAGCATTATTAGGCACACATACATTTGTATTGAAAGTCCTCCCAAATGATTAAAAGTAGTGCTTATGAAAGGACTTGAGATTAATGGGATGACAAAGCATGGTGCTTCCTATTAGAGACCTGTACAAGCATGAAATCACAGCCACTCAGACTGTGTCAATAAGTGTTGTACAAGAATCGTGACAGAAACTAGACACAAACCAAATCACTTCTAGCAGTCTCATTACATACTTTTCTTATACGCACAGAGGAATCAGTATGAAAAGCTGGTGTTACAAGGAGAACAAGTTAAGACAGTTTGATCATCTTACCTGCAGTATTCCATCCTTGCAAATTTTATTTGCAAAGGTTTAATTTAATGCCTACATTTTCTTTCCTTTTTTTTTTTTAATTAAATAAGCACATTTATTTTATCACATCATGCAAGGGAAAGGTTTGCTGTGAGCTTCCTTTCTCACCTTCATCGTATTGAAACTTTTTGATGGAACAGGAACTGCTTAACTGAAATCAGAATTACATAAACTACAGCAATAGGCAAAAGATAGTCACAAGCCTCTCCCCCACTTTGGCTGATGCTTTGCTTAGGATGAGCATTTGCACTTCTGTAAAAAAATTTTAGAATCTGCCTTTTTTTTGGTAAAAATGGTGACCAGAAACAGTTTAGAGAAAAGTAACTGCACACACAAAAGCACACACATTTTCTATTCCTTCTTCTACAGCTTATCTGTACCCTTGATTGAAGTGTCTAGAAGAGGTGCGGTACTGCAACAGAGGAATGAGAACGTTAGCTATAATTTCTTTGTAATTGTGCTCCGTGAAGATTATCAGCTCCAGGTCTTGTTTCTGCAATGTATGGAAGCTAATGGGTGTGAGGTTTTTGCATAAGAGCCGGTTTTCATTTACGTGTGTCATATTGCACCTTTGGTTTTCAGACAAAAGGAAATGAGGTAGGGGAAAAAGCCTCCACCATCCCTTAGGAAGGTGACTAAGAGTTGCTTGTTGCCTAACAACTAACTCTTCTTTCCTGACTCAAGCCTTCCTGATATGAAATACCTGTTTTTTAAGCTCAAGTCAGAGGCAGCCAAAGGTACCTTTGACTCAAAGCTGACACTGGTATTGAATTTCCTAAATTAGTTCAAAGTTCAAATTGCTTTTTGCTATGAAGCACTATTCCTTTTGAGGCAAACAAGGCTTTTTCACAAGGCAGGCACTTGGGTAGGCTTGACCTCACCCAAATTAAATCATATAAAATTTAGACTTCGAGTCAAAGTCGGTTGCCACTGTTCCCTGTGTACTGAATGGAGGAAAAAGCAAGCATGGCAACTGCAGGTAGTGACTAAGCCCCTTTATATTGGATTCTTCTGGAGAAGCCTAAATGTCCAGGTCATACTTGACACCTAACTTCTGCATGGCTGAAGGTAGGTGAGGTGAATCCCACTCTGAGTAATCAGTATATCCTCTTTAATCACTTATTTCCAAAGTTACTGATGCTGAGGGAACTTGACATTGAGGAACTTGGTTGTGTTGTTAACACATGATTCACCCTGTCACAATGTGAAGCTGCAAAACACCCTTGGGCAAAAGCTCTGTTAGCATATAAATGAAAAATCCTCTCATGGATTCATTCAAATAACAAATAAGAGGTTTTGTGATAACCAGGATAACTTCCTGCCATGTTCCATTCAGGATCACCTAAGACCCCTGTGATCATGAACGGGACAGCTTGACTTGGGACTGCTGTTCATAAAGCACAGGCTGTGCAGTGGTAGTGCATGCCTAGGTGTATTAAGGGAGAAATAAGAAGTTGGGTTTTCCGTGAAACCCCAGGTTGCAATCTGTGGAAGTTCAGCAGCTGCTTCATAAGCACCTGAGTATAGATAAGATAGATATTTGCTGTTACATATATACTAACTTTGCCCAAACTCAGAGTAAACTTAAATTCAGAAAATATTTCAGAAACAGTCCAAGAAGTACTTAATGTCCCAGATAAATACTGGCAGTAGCTCAGATTTGCAAGCTTATTTGGTCTGTTTATTCTTGCATAGAACGTAATCTCTCTTTTGACAGATCTGATTTCAGGAGACCTGTGCATGTGCATAAGTTCAATACCTTATTACTGAGCTTATATATAAAGTTCTTAAATCAGTCTTTCTTTTTGTAAGGCATGCCCTGCATAGGATCCTAGTTTGTACCAGCCTCACTGTTAGTCTGCCATCAGACGCTAAAAGACATTGGGACTGCTAAAGCAATTTATCCTGAAATAACTGGCTTCTAAACCTTTTCAGCTGTAGTAAGTTAACGGTATCTTGGTATCTTAATAAAATCAGCAAGTGCTGATGGGGTATGCCTTCGAGGTTCCTTTTCTTGTCTAACCTATGGGACATCATACGCTATTGTCAACTTTAAATTTCCAGTGTTCATTTCACTGCAGTTAGCTCCAAGGGATAAAGGGCATTACAAGAATCCAGTCCATGCATAAAACAGTTGGTCACCAGAGTGCATTTGCTGACTACAGAGAGAGAAATGTGGTTTCCCGTGAGGACTGTTATTTGAGTGTCCCAGGCAGGATCAGGGGACCCCAAAGCAGGTGACAGGTTTGCCACTGATTCTGGCAGTTCCTCAAAGTCTTCTCCATTGCTAAGCAGGATCCCTTTTACTTCCTCAGTGTAAAAGCAAGCATTGCACCTTTCTGAGTGCATTGCTTTTTCAGCCAGGTGAGGCATAGCCAGAGTGTTTCAGCAGACATCAGGAGACTGCTTTTCTCAACGTGGCAATGGCTCAGGTTTTGGTATGATGAAATTCCTAACTTTTGTGTCATTTTCTGTGTTACGGAAGAGGATCGGACAGCGCACTGTGAGACCAGAGCCCACATCCGATGCCGTACTGCAAGAGAATGAAGTCTCTCCCTCCTAATTTAACCAAGAGGGACAGAAACAGCCAAGAGATTCTGCCCCAAAAGATGCAGCTCCCTTCTCCTCCACAACCTGGGGCAGGTGACCGCCTCCAGTATGAAAGCCCTGGTGAGAAAATACAAGCTACGGGAAAGGGAGTTCCTTAGGGAAGCTGTACCCAACCGAGGAAAGGCTGCCAGGCACTGTGCAGGCTGAAGAGGAAGCACAGGGTTGGGTGATGCACTCACTCCAGCTAGTCTTGCAGCGCTGAAATTCCTGTTGCCTCTTGCATGAGAAAGCCCCGGCTGTTGCAGAAGCTCTTGCATCCAGTATCTCTCCACATTTACAGAAGCCATATTGCCATGTTGACTTCAAGCCTCGTGACCCGTTGTGCAATCTGAAGAGGTGTGCATGGCAGCGTATCTTGTCCTATATACAGTGTGTTGTCACTGGGAGAATGGAGTGACAGCCTTTCCAGGGCACCTGGTAGATCATGAAAGCTGTGCTTAACAAACCCAGGCTCTGTTGGGAGTCACATGGACACCCCACAAACCTGCATTTTGTGCTGTCTGACACTGAGCCATCATCCATGCCTTGTGCCAGCTGCCCGTGGGATGTGGCCTCAGTGATGCTACGTGCATGACTCCACATGGCTGCTAACAAAACAAAGTCATTTCTCAGGGAGTCCCAAAAGGCTTCGCAGTTGTCTGGAGAGCCGAGTGTGGGAGAATTTTGGGCTGGTAGGCAAGAGTCCAGCTATCATTCCATATGCTCCCGCTGAACAAAATACAAACCTGTGCAGGAATCTAGTGTGGCCACCTACTCACAAAAGGGCTGATCACGAAGATTAAACTATGTTAACAGCTCCACACAGAAAGACTTTAAAGAAACAATTGCAAAACATCTTAAGGAAGTGTTTCAGAAATGCATAAGGAAAGAAACATTCTCCAGGAGATCAAGATAGGCAACTCTGTAAGTACATCCTATTACATGCTA